TCTGCCTGGGCGGAGCTCTGATTGGGCTCCTGCCCTTGGCCCACGCACCTGCAGCTGATCTCGAGCGAATTGCAGTTCTCTGGCTCTTAAGGCTGGGGCTCTGAGCTATTCGTCGCTGGAATATTGAGTAACTCTCGTTTACCTGGATCAGCCCCTTTGTGACCCCTGGACCCCGTGAGTAGGAGAGTGAGCTGAGCTGCTTGTGTGGAGACTGTTTGGACGAGGAGCAGAGCGAGTGCGAAGAAGTGTGTCTCCCCAGCCTATTGATCCCCGGGACCCTGGTGTTTCCCCCCCTCCCTTCACGTGTATATAGCGCACCAGTGTGATTAATAAAGTGTCGTTGAGCTGTGCTACCTCAGTCTGCGCCTGAGTCCGTTCCACCCCCGTGACAGACACATATTTCTTATGAACAAGAATTTATTTTTGAACACTGAAACAGTGATGGGCAGAAAATCGGATCATTTTAAGTAACTTAAAAAACATAAATGAAAAGGATCAGCTGTTTAAAGTCCTTCTCTTACCATGTGTTGTAAAGTCCATATGTGTGCCATGCCTCACTGATGGTAAAAACACCTAAAAGATACACTTGTGCATTTACAGTTGAAGCTCCACCTGCAGCCCCATCTTTCCTTTCACTTCACTTTCACTTGGTGAATTTTAGGAGCTGAGACATCCTTCATTTAAGCACCAACATAGAGTAGTGAGTCATAGACAGGGGGATGAAGATTGTGGTAATGTAGTGTAGTTTTTAATACTTTTTGCATGAAATAATCTGCTTTTAGTGACCAACAGTGAAAAGGCGGTTAAAAAGATCACCAGCTTTGTAGTCCTTCTGTGAAATGATCCCACAGCTTCAGAGTTGGATACAAAAAACAAGGTGCAATCAACAAAGTTCTCAGATTTGATATTTATCTGTAATCAATGAAAGTCTGTGATCCACATATGTGAGGGCACAGCAATATTTGTTCTGACAGCTGTGACTAGCATCATCACTTCTTTCTGCTGCAGGGAAGTCAGTCTGGGCTTCACCAAAGAAGGACAATCAATGTTAGGGAGCACTGAAGATGTGCTAAGAAACTCTATATTTCATTTTCCTTTGCTTTGTTGGCCATCTGTATATTTTAAACGTTTGTATTTTTTGATGTCTATAACTGAAAAACATTCAGTATATAACAGTGTACCATATTTGTCCCTAAACATGGATGTAAAAATGATGCTGAACCAACTGTTCTGAAATCTTTTAATGAGTGAAATGTACACATGTTGATCTCATTGACTGATGAGCTGATCAAAGTTAACGGTGTTTTTTTCTGTGTCATTCAGTATGCCCAGATAAGGAGCCAGGACTGCAACCATGGATGCCAGGACACAGTGAAGACCACCGTGTGACGATCAGTAATAACCGCACGGTCCTTCTCACAACTTCAGCTACTGTCCACTCTATTGAGATTCTCAGCGGAGGTAAACTGGACAAATCTATCATGTCTTTATCTTTCTCTAAACTGAAGTGATATTTCAGGAGACCGGTGAAGAAAAGCTTCAGCATAGGAAGAAAACTAGCAAGAGAAAGGAAGAAGAAAGAGACCATGATTCTTACATGCTTCAGAGATAACAAAAGGTGTCCCATAGTTGCAGTGGTTTGGGATTGTGGTTTGAATTTAGCTGAACCCAACACAGACCCACCAGAGAAAAGTAAGATTTGGACTGTGTAATATGAGCAGTAGGTGAGGTGTTTTGGTGAGGAGTAGGGGGGCATAGCTTATCTGTGTTTGAAATGGTCCAGGAAAAGTCTTTCAGTGTAACTAAGGCTGCAGCTACACTGGGATTTACAGTCACTGAACTCGTAGCCCTTACCAGAACCCCCCAAACCTGCAGCTTCAGTCTCAGAGGAGCGCAACAAATTTTGCCACTCTGCCAGTTGGTCCAAGCACATTCTCAACCCCCTACTATACACCCTGTACATCGATGACTGCTCACCAACCCACCTCAACTAACGTCATTGTCAAGTATGCTGATGACAACACCATGGTAGGGCTCATCTCTGATGGAGGTGAGACAGTGTACTGGGCAGAGATGGAAAACATGTCTGGCTGTTGCTCCGAAAATAGCCTGAAGCTGAATATCCTTCAAACAAAAGAACTTATAATGGACTTCAGGAGGCACGGACTGGTCCCCTCCCCTCTCATTATAAATGGGGAACTGGTGGAATCTGTCTCCACCTTCAGATTTCTGGACACCTGATCTCATCTCTGCTGATCTCGTTCACAACACCATTGCCCTGGTAAAGAACAGCAGGATCAACAGCAGCTGCACTTTCTCCATGTCCTGAGGAAGAGTAACTTGAACCAGAAGCTGCTGCTGGCCTTCTACTGCTCCTCAGTGGAAAGCATGCTCTCCTACTGCCTGGGTTTTTGATACGCAGGGGCATCAGCGTAACTTTGTGGGTAAATTCCCAGATGATTAAACATGCGACTATTTTGCTGGTAATACCTGAAATGAGTAAAGAAAATCAACAGCCTATTTATGCAAGATAATTCATAGTTTTATTGGGGGGTTATATTGGTTCGGGGGGTCATAACCCCCCTAACCCCCCTGGAACTTACGCCCCTGTGCAGGGGTCACAAATGAGAAGCCTTACAGGGGCTTGTCCTTCCATGATGCGTCCTCTTCTTGCTCCTTCTCTTGCTTGCGTTTCTGCTACCTGAGATATTCACTAAGAAAACTATTAATCTTCCTTATTTACTCATAGATCTTTGTTCTTTTATCTTCGTTAGCAGTTCTGACATCCACTAGTCCTTGGCCACCTTTCTTCTGTTTAGCGTACAGACTCAGGGTGCTGGCTTTGGGGTGAAACCCTCCATGCATAGTAAGGAGCTTCCTTGTCTTGATGTCAGTGGCTTGTTTCTCTTCTGTTGGCCAGCTGATTGTTGCAGCAGGTTATCTGATTACTGGCAGAGTGTAGTTGCTGATTGTCCCTGACTCTGCAGGTATTTGATGGTTGCAGTTTCTTAGCAGCTTCTTCATTTTTCCCAATTCCCTGTGGGATTGCTTGAAGGTCTGAATTTAATTAAAAAGTGAAAAGTATATAGAGTATATTGTGCAAAAGAAATCATTTTAATTAATGACAGAAATGTGGTAAACAAAGGGCTACGGTCGTTCTGAGAGAAGTAATACATGCAGGATGTATCACTGAATGCTTATTTACTACTGAGCTGAAATCATTGAACTACAGACAAAGTAAAAGAGATAGCTGTCAAGCTACATCCATGTATGTGTTTGTGTGGAAAGCCTGAATTCAGGGCCATAAATGGTAGGAAGACAGAAGGAGTTTGTGGGCACAGGGGCATGAAAGACCTGCCAGGAGGCTTCATCACTCACCCACCCTCCTCTCTCCCCCACAGGAAAGCTGGTGATTGCTGACACCAACCGGCCTATACTGCTTCGGACAAAACACATTCTGATTGGGAACAAGGGGGAGCTGCACATTGGAAGCCCAGACTGTCCTTATAAAGGCAACCTCACCATCTTGCTATTTGGAAGGTGAGGGTTTATAAAACGTAGCAGAATAAAAACACTATTTGTTAAAAATGAGTTATTAGGTATTTACTGTTAAGAAAAAAAGTAAGTGTAAGATTTTTACCACGTTTACTAATTGGTGGATACACCGTGTTTAAAAAGCAGTGATTATACTTGTTTGGAAGAAGGTAGCAGTGTGAATCACAAGACTAAAAGTAAACTGAGTGGTAAAGAAAGGATTGTGGTTTGGTTAAAATGGAGCGACTTGGTCCTGAGACCCATCCGAGAATTCTTGCGACGCACACATCAGGGGACTGACTGAGGCTCGTGTGACGCCACGTGACTGTGACGGGAAGGTAGAATGAGGCAGCAGAAGAATAAGACCAGTAATGAAACTTTTAACAGAGAACGACCTCAACATACGGTAGTAATAAACAAATATGTTCGATATCCCAATGCGTTGTCTTTTGTTATCAGTGATGATAGCGTATTAAATAGTGAATTTGTTGTTGCACACAAACTAATGACAAACATTATCATATTAGACTACTTGTGATTAGTAAGAAAAATATTTGTTATCATTTTGCTGTTAGTAAAAGATCTATTTACTCATTTACTTAATACCTGTTATGGTTATTAAAAAGTATTAATTGATGCCATCTTTGTTGTCTTCATCAGGTTTCATGAATTTGACTGCATAGTTTTCACCTAATCAGACACAAACTTTATAAAAATGAATTTAGATTAATAAAACAGACTAATTTTTAGGTAAAGTAATCACGAGTCACAGCCTGTTGTACAGGACTTGTGCTCTCTTGTTATTTGATTCTTCTGTCTCTCCTTAAGACCAACTATCTAACAAACCTGACACACATAAAAGATTTTTGGGTTTTTTAATTCTTGGAAGAGAAAGAAAACAAACTCTTAATAATTATTCTGCAATAATTTGTTTGTATAAACCAACATCAAGGCTAACTAAAGTGCACTCTGTGTCTCAAAGCCACTTGAAACTGGCATACTGTCCAAACATTTATCATTCTCCATTCTTGTCCATAGACTGGATGACAGCGATGAGGAGCACAGCTACTTCGGGAGAAAGTACATTGGCGTGGGGAGTGGGGGGACACTGGAGATTCACGGAGAAAGGAAGCTGTCCTGGACATTCCTCAACAAGACCCTCCATCCCAGAGAGAGCAGTCAAAACAGCTATCTGTTCCAAAGAAGCTGGGGGAATCGAGGCATCATAGTCCACGTAATCGACCCCAAGACAGGGGAGGTGCTGCATGATGACAGGTGAAGTTCCTCTTGAACATAAGGGCTGCATCAGAGCTGCAGTAAAATCTGGAGACTTAATTAGAGAAGTAATGATCTGGTAACTGGCAGATCATAAGCTTCTAATGAAGGGTTGTAATGAAGTAGACAAATGTGCTCTTAATAAATCTAACGGTGTTTTACAGACGGATATTACATTTAGAAATCAATGACATGCTTAATATTCTTTCATTAATAATAAAATCTATTCAGCCATCAGGTCAATAGGTCCAGTAAAGTGACATAAATATATTATTGAGCAATATTAGTGTCAGCCCTCTTTCGAAGAGAGATTGTTACCAGTAAATGTCAGTTGTTACTAAAGGGTCATTTATCATGACTCTTTAGTAACATTTATTTCAAAAGTGTCATTTACAACGGACATTTTATGCTAAAACATAACATCAAAAAATTCTCATTTCATGAGTGAAGTCTTACCAACTGCCATTCCTGTCACAGAAATGCACTTTGGCAGTCAGAAAGGCTGAAACAGCGTTTCTTTTTCTATACAGTGACAATGATTTTCATGTTTGGTGGTGACATTGATGAATAAAGACCACAGTTACTGTCCTTGAATTCAATTTGATTCAGTTTTATTTATATAGGTCCAAATCACAACCACAGTCAACCTACAGAGAACAATGAAACAAGTCAAGCACTTGGTGACAGTGGGAAAGAAAAACTGCCTTTTAACAGGATATAACCTCCAGCAGAGTAAGGCTCATGGAGGGGATGTGTGAGTGGTCGAGGGTGAAGTGGGGAAGGCAGGAAAAAGACATGTTGTGAAAGAAAGCCAGAGATGACCATGGGCTTCATCAAAAACTCTTAAAAGTAGAGAGGATGTCTGTCTTCTGAAACTGGGAGCTGGTTCCACAAACGAGGTGCCAGAAAGCTAAAGTCTCCTAAAGCTAAAACCTGCAGGACGGCGATTTTACTGCAAAATGAGAGCGGCGCTCGGCAGACTGACCTGTACACAGGGGTAGAAATGGTTGCAGCAGCTACTTAAAATCAGTTGTCAAAAGTGAAATGCAGTCGTAACTCTCCTAATTTTATTCTAGTTACAAGGAGAATGCCAATTCAATTTTTACTCAAGCGTGACTGAAACATTATTGGTTAGGTTTTTAAACTTTGTTTTACACCATTAAATTACAAGTAAAAATGCGTCAGAGATTCATTCAAGCTGTGAACCGCTCTGAAGCAAAAAATGCAAAATAGCTCGTGTTCTCCATGTCATCTCGTGATGGCAGACTGTTTGCAAAATAGCACAGCTTTCAAAAGTCCCCTGAACAGAAGGCGTAAGAATTTCTTTTATCTGTCTCTCTTTTAATCTCTGCATCATTCTCACAGGTTTGACACGTACCGCAGCAAAAACGAGAGTTATCGCCTTGCAAAATATGTCGATGGCATCAAGCCTGGGCTCATACTGGCGATGATGGTCAATGACGAGGGCTCCAACAACTTGGAGGACTCCGCTAAGAAGAGTATATCCAGGCTTGGCAGCAAACACATCGGGAGTCTCGGCTTTCGGTAGGCTATTGAAACACAATTTTAAAATGAAGTCCATCAACCTCTGTAACCGAACCTGTCATTTTGCCAGGTGTGACAGGAAGTTGATTCATTTAAATACACTCCCCCAATTCTACCAAAGCATATTCTAAATGATACTAATTCTCTTGTCCCTGACGAGTGTGTGTAAACTTCTGAGCTCAAACCATGTCAGGAAAGAAAATGTGTTTTTGAGCTCTCAGCACAGTATTGTCCAGAGCATTCATTTCATGGACTGCTTTGATTTAATGAGAAAATGTTAGAACCTCAGGTGAAGCACCTTGAATAGTTGTCCTTTTCTCTAATCAATGCCTGAAGCTTTTGGGGATCTCTTGGTGATTAATGATTTTCTACAAACTATGTCAAGGGTAATATTTGTTAGGCAAACTAACACTGGCCACTTTTCTTTTGCTTGCACAGTGATAAAAAAGCAATCTAAAATATAACTTTAAAACGGTGAGAAGTATTGGAAACAAACAAAGGACATTTGTTTTCTAAGAGACAACTGCAGTCTGCTGCAGCAACTCCTGATTGGAAGACTTCAATCAATCAATCTTTATTTATAAAGCACTTTTCATACAGAAAAAATGTAGCACAAAGTGCTTTACATAGTTAAAAGCAGCCCACCCTCCAACTCACTCCCCACACTCTCA